AATTTCAGCCCACGAGAACGAACGTCTCGGCACGGGCGAGCGGGCGCAACACTATATATGAAATAGGGGTAGAAGAAACCAAAGAAAAGATTGTTTTTTGAGTTTTTGATGCTAATATGTTCAGAGTGTTCTAAAATGTCGAAATATTGCATTAAAAAAAAATGTGCGGACACTTAATAAATTCGAGACGAATCGATTGGGTACCCCGATATCAATAAGATTTTGGCAATTCTAATTATCTAAATATTACCCGGTAAAACATTTTTCATATAAAAACATATATAAATAGATACATATAATCATATAATATATGTGTTATTTGAAAAGTAATTATTACATCATATTTTGATGTAAGAACTTATTATAGAGAAGTTCTTTTTGAGAAATTCAGAGATTTATACTTGGAGCTAGAATATTATTTATTTGTTTAAAAAAAATACTACACGTGATATCTTTTATAAAATCATGTATTCTATAACTTTAGAATTTATGTCATTAATTTAGTAATAAATTGATAAGAATGTTTGAAAATTAATACATTTTGATGAAAGAGCAAATTTTTTCATCATGAGACTTCAAGAAACATCTAAATATACTAACGCCATTGTAAAATTTTTGAAGATATCCTACGTAGAATTATTTATATAAAACCATTTCAATATAACAATAAATTAATTAATTGGATTTGATAAGCAAAATTTTCAGAAATATTTAGAGAAAATTTATTTTATATACCAATAAAAATATTTACTTGCTCGCCTGACGGATATAATTAATTTAATGATTATGAGATTAAATTGGGATTAGTCAAGTGAGTACATTTGTGCAATCTGAAGAAGAATGGAAGAGAATCTTATTAAATCGTATATGATTAAAAAAACCATTGTTTCTAATAACATTTTTGAATAAATAAAGTAACAAATATAATCCAAAACGTACAAAAAAGATGGATTTAGGGTAAAGGTATAGCGTATTCCAAGTCTTTGCCCGCAAGAACGTTGATAATATTTAGCGCTGCGACTTTGGCCATGTCATCACGGGTTTTGATCGTCGAGCTGCCTAAGTGTGGCAGAATTTCTGTAATTACCAAAATATAAAATTGCTAATATGATGCACTACATGTAAATTATGATACAATATTAGATATATTATAGCATTACATTCCTTGAATTTTGAAATTGTAGAATTCCTAAGAGCATGATCGATTTTTTTAATACCCAGGTCAGGTGTGCGATATTCCGTATTATAAGAAAGAATAACAAGAAAATAAAAATGATTATACCGACCAACATTACGTAGTTTTAGAAGTTCGTGTTTACGTGGTAGCGGTTCCGGATCGGTGACGTCTAGTCCGGCAGCGAATATCTTCATTTTACAAAGAGCTCTCTGAAGTGCAGCGGTATTGACGATCTCACCGCAAGCCACGTTCACGAAGACGGGTTTCTTCTTTTTCATTTTCTCAAAAGCGTCGTCGTCGAAAAGTTTTCGGGTTTTACTAGTCAGAGGTGCCGAAATCACGAGAAAA